GTGTAAAATATGAAAAAGGAAAATCATAATAAACACAAATATCACTTTGTTTAATTGCTTGCAAATGGCATTCTTCCTTATTAACATATAGTCAGGCTTATTTAAGGCCTAAGTTTCAAGAATTACTGAGGAAAAACAGAAAATGAGAAAGTAAAGATTATAATTAAGATTTTTATACAATTTGGTTATGCCACTGATTTTTGATAAGTATAAATGAGAATATAAAAGATAAGTAAATGATTCTGACAATAACAGCAAGCCTTTCCTAGGTGTTAATTCATTCAGAATTAATTCTTCCAAATTTATTGAGCATTAAACAAGGAGACCTATGATGAAATATGAGATCCTATTTAAAGCATAAGACTATGGTTTTAAGCACACTCTAAAACTAAAATTTCAGAATGACATTCAGTTTTTTAATACCCAATTAATCTCAATGTTTTACTGGGATAATAATATAGATGTGGGATTGTGGAACTTCTTCTTGTTTATGACATAGGGCCCCATAAGTAGCCATGATAAGTATCTCAAAAGTCACTGTGACTAAAATTTAAATGCAGAACACTAACAAACAAATAAACAGAATAAAAAACACAAAGCTAGCTCTACCAGTTAAGATTATTCTTTTTCCGGTTTCTGAATTTATCCTCCTTTCATTTTTATCCTTCAGCTATAGAATGATGGCACAAGGCACATGAGAAAGGAAAATATTAGCTTTTAGCCATTGCTTTATCAAAAATAAAAGATATTTTTGTAACATAAGAAAAAGCAATCTCTAGCTTAAAAACAGCCAGGTTGGCTAAGATTTTTAAAGGATAAATTATATTACTGAAATCAACCTATACTTTGTTAACTACTTATAGAAGTAGTTTAAATATAGTCTGTTAAATATCAATGTAATGTTATTGATAAATAAAATATAATTATCCTCATGATATTGTGGGAAAGAGCATTACCTTTTCAGTGAACCAAATTACTACAGAATTATTATTAATGTTGTAAACAAAGTCTATATCAAAACTTCATATTTTATTTATACTACCATAAAGATTTTTATTCTATATATCACATACTGTAGTTCTTCCTGAGATAATAAAACAAACTCACAAAGATGGTGCATAATTTACATCCTTTACCCACTTTTTTGATAGAAAGTCATGGAAAATATCATCATGTTATCAACATATATGAATATATAACACACCTAAAGTCACACACTTTTTTCACCTATAAAAGAAAAATAATATTCTGCTAAAGAACATAGTAATTATAGATTAAATAATAGAAAATTTTGACCTGGAGAATGATTCTGAGACTTGTTTAAGAAAGTTCTTGCTTTTTCCTCAAGGAGTCTGACCTCTTGGGATGTTGTACTTTCTTTAACCACTTCTCAACAACAATCTCATTCCTCTCTTTCAGCTTTATTCTAAGAAGAGAAATTTGGAGGAAGAAATCTTGAGTCCACCAATCTCCTCCAATGTTATGAAGGTCATGAAAATTAGAATCCTAGACTTAATGGGGGAAACTGGATATTATCTGGTCAAATTCATAAAGCCTGGAACTTCATCAATTCACAAAAATGTTTGTCAAATTGATTTTTCTACCTAAAGTTTTAAAATATTTAGATTTAGTTTTTATTGTGCTTGAGCCAGTGTATGTATAAAATATTTCTCTTTTGCATTTATTGTATTAGAAATAATTTGATTTAAAATTCTATCAGTGAGTCAGCATTAGAATTACCACATGGGTTGGTCTAATCGCTGAACTACATATATCCCTGTGAGTGGAATTAGTAGGAAGCTAGGCTTATAGAGAAAGAAAAAGGTAGGGTACAAGAGAAATTGATATTTGCTTTGCTGTAACTACTTACATACATTTTTGAGGAAAATGGTACAATGAGAATAAAATCTGGAAAAATATTCAAATTATTATATTTTTAGAATTGACTATACATTTCTAACAGAAATCAATGCATTCTATTGGTAGACAACAGAATTATTTTACTTAGAAAATGAAGAGTAACTGAAATTCTTTTCCATAACTATTCAGTTTGTGCGGTAATTTTTTTAATATTGCAAAAATAGTATCATGACTATACTATAATTGAGGCCATACACATAAAAACTGAAAGGATAAGAAAAGAAATAGACAAAGAGGGTTAGAACAGCTACTTTATGTATACACAATTAAACTTAGAGTCTTTAGAAATAAATTTTAATTTCTACATTGCCTCATTCAAGTATATCTTCAAACTCTACATATAGGTAAATTTATTCTTACATAATTGAAGAGTTTCTGAACACGGGATACACTTTCTGTGTTGTGTTTTGTAACATATCTCTCAACAGTATCATAATTCAGCCTTATCTAATATCACACAGATACCCAGAAAAGAAAAACATCATGAGATTTCTCCCATATCACTGTATTTGTAACATAAGTGATACCAATAATTACACTCACTATCATCACAATAATAGATTCAATATACAATTGCCTACCATTTGTAGACACTGACATCACCATAATGCTTATAACAGCATTCAAAATGTGTCATTATCCCCATTTTAGACATGAGAAAACTGAGGGTCCAAAAGATTAACTATTCTGCTGGTACCCAACAAACTACTAAGTAGCTCCCTGTGCCTTTGTTTCAAATAGGAATATATTATCTCCTTTCACACAGCCCTAGTCTTCTTTTGTACTATGTTCATTAAAATATGCAAACCAGTAAAAATACATAAGTCATCAAAAAATACACTCAAAGGACCAGGATATTAAATAGTCTTTAAGTTAAATCCTCACTGGAATAAATGTATTTCTCTGCACAATAAGCTGCTGTGTCATTAACTTAATAATTTGCTGCATTTAAAACTCAGCTTAACATTTTTTTCTTTCTCCCTCCTCCTCTTGCTATTTTTCTCTCATTTGGCAAATATCAATATAACATTACAATCAGTTTGGAAGGGTAACTGAAAATCCTAGCACACTATATTCTTTATTTCCTGCAGGAAAGCACGCAGTGAAATGCAAACAGTATTTGTACTTCATATAATCAAATGATTGCTTTGCTCTATAGGCAGGAATTATGTAGCTATTGTGTCTGACAGTGGGCATGGGTATATAATCTTTGTGCAGTTAATTTACCTTTTTTTTTGAGACAGTCTCACTCTGCTGCCCAGGCTAGAGTGCAGTGGCCCGATCTCAGCTCACTGCAGCCTCCACCTCCGGGTTCAAGTGATTCTCCTGCCACAGCCTCCCAACTAGCTGGGACTACAGGCACACACCACCATGCCTCTCTAATTTTTGTATTTTCAGTAGAGATGGGGTTTCACCATGTTGGATGGGATGATCTCGATCTCTTGACCTCGTGATCCACCCACCTCGGCCTCCCAAAGTGCTGGGATTACAGGCATGAGCCACCACGCCCGACTCTTAATTTACATTTTGACGTTTCTACTAAGAACTTTTTATATCAAAGACTGAATGCAAAAGGAAGTTCCATCTGGCTGAAGAGTTCTCAACTTTAAGAAAATTAGGATATGGAAAATCTACCAAGGTTAGGCCTATTTCCATAGGCCTATAGTTTCTGCAGTTCCAACATAACAGGAGTGAATTAGCACGAATATTTAAGTGGACGGTTTTTGCTTCTGAATTAGTTCTATATCCATACACATATTTCTTTTATTTAATCTTGAATCCATTTGCTAATAGCACCCGTCTATAACTGTTATATTTCTAATTATCACAAAACATTATCCAGTTGTAGCAATTAATAGATATGTAATGACAAACTTTTGTGATGTAAAGCGAAACAATTTCTACAAATAAAATTATATTTTTAGAAAATTCATATATGCTAAAATGTTTCCCTTTTGGTTTCATCAAAACAAATATTAAAAAACATATACCTACAAATTAAGTACACAGAATCCAAATTCATGTTTTTAAAGCTCATATTTCAAATGTATTATTTTTGCATAATTTAATTAGAAATATTGGAAACATACATTTGCATTTAAAGATGATTAATTTCTCATTAAACTAACAACACCTCAGTCCTCAAGCTGTAATTTACTTTCCTCTTTCTTTCTCATTCTCTATCTCTTTATATATATATGTATGTATAGATAGATATGTCATGTTTATATTAAGCAATTTATCCACAGAACCAATACAGTGTTATAAAAATAATTCAGAATCTACATGCATATCAAAACTTTACATTACAAATTACTTATTTGCCTTCTTATAAAAACTGAGTCAAGTAATCACATCTTGTATTTTGATATAAATTTCTAAGTTAAAATATTTATTTGAGATGAGAAAAAAGTAACACTTCACCATTAATTTATGTTAATAACACATAAAGCCCATAAATCTTAAAATACAGATAATTTCAACATCAAATGTAGAAGTAATTGATAAATGTGAATATTTATTATACTCAACTCATGTAATTTCTAATTTATATGAGCAGATACAATTTATTAGAAAATATTTCCCCTAGAAAAGAGACAGACCTAAAAATGTTATATCATCTCACATTTCCGTAAGTTTATTTATTATAATTTAACATATGCTATGAAAATATTTCTTAGAAAAATGGTGCATTTCATAATTCAAGAGTAATGATCAGCAAAATAAATGTAATTCAATCTCATAATAATATATTGACAAGAGTAATAACTACTAAATAGAGGAAACATGAGTAGCTTATGACACGTCAAATCATGTACAAGAAAACTGGGCTGTAATGGGATGTTGAGTTATATATCAGAGAAATAACATACTTCTACTTTTCTCAATTAAAACAAGCACAGTAGGCCAGGATGGTCTCAATCGCTTGACCTCGTGATCCGCCCGCCTTGGCCTCCCAAAGTGCCCTCCAGCCTGGTGACAGAGTGAGACTCCGTCTCAAAACAACAACAACAACAAAACAAAAAACAACAACAAAAACACCAAGCACAGTAGGGGCAATCTTTACTCAAAACACTCACCTATGGTCAGCTGTCCAGTTAACTGCCCCATGTGATTTCTTGCATTCACTGTTACATTCCTGTCAGACTGTAAGACCAGTGGACTATCCTGGGAAACATGTATAAAATAAATAAATCAAATAGAAAACAGAAATATAGTCAAATTTACATAAAATTATACTGCATTTGTTTACATATTCTCAAAAATTTAATTTGTTTGCTTTATATTAGACAGTTAATTTAATATCCCAATCATTGGTGGACAGTGTAAAAAACTGAGAGTCTCATAATATTTACTTGACAGCATATTTCATTTTCGTAAGTGGTACTATCAGAGAGGCAAGCATTTCCAAGTCTACTGATTGTTGTACATCAAGGTGTAGTAACCCTTTTCCTCTTTCTCTCCCAGTGTCCTCTATGCCTGCCTGTGCAGATATTCCAGATGCCATCCCAAAGGCAAAAGTCTCTTTTTAAGTTTAAGTTGCAACTTTCAGATCTCAGCTTAAACGCCACCTTCTCAAAATTGACTCGTCTAATCAGCGTAACGACTGAGTCTTTCAATCCTCAAACTCCCACTCTCCATTTAGTTTGTTTAAAGCACTTATCACAAAGCAATTTAACAGTATGTGTCTATTTGGGATTTTTTTTTTTAACTTAATTTTGTCACAAAAGGAAAGATCCAGGAGAAGGAACCACAACAGCCATGTCTATGCAGTTATGTGACTATTACTCAGCATGTTGCTGAAGGAAAGAATTTTTATCTACTCAGTAGATAAAAAATCTTCAGAGTAAAATTGATATTATAGTACCGTATTATTCAATCTCATGGAAATGCTCTGTAAATCATACAAGGATTTCACAAGGAAGTATATAGAATACAAGATTTTTGTAAATTCTGCTTTAGGACATATACCTCTGGTTACATGTTGACTTTTATCAGTAATTTAGCATTTAACAGTAAAAATAGTTTATTGAAGGACAACAACACTGCCTTAACAGCTCACATTTTGTTTGTTTGTTGCTTGTCTGAGGGAGGCTTTTGTCATACCTCCCTCAGACAAGTAACATTCAAATCCCTACATTCTCATTTTACTGATCTAAAACCTAAGTTGGGTGATCGTTTACAAATCTGTATTAATTTATTCAATAAATATTCATTGCATACTCACTATGTACAATATAATGTTCTAGAGGTGGGGACATTTTGGTGATCAAAATATAGAAAAATACTTGCTCCCTTAGTGCTTGCATTGTGGATGTTGAAATACTGCGAAAGTCTCCATCAATATCATCCTCACCATCTAGGCAGTATGTCAAGTCTATGTCAATGTCAATTATCAAGTGCCTTCATATGTAAGCTATATTAAAACTCTCAATATTAGGATTTGGAATTTGTGATTTTATATACATATGGTTTATTTCTGCAGTTTTAAAAGAAAAAAGTCTAGTTTTCTTTTCCATAGGTGTAACTATGCTGCAGACATTTATCTCCTAAGAAATCTAAAATATTTAAAATTAATTACATCATCCTAATCAAGTGATACATCCAAATCCTGTTTAAAAAAGAGTTCATGGACTAAAGACGGTTTGCAAACAGCTATCTTATATCCAAAAAGAATACTGCTGTCTCTTGATAATGACATAAAGATGATGGTTCATACGTGAACACACACACACACACACACACACACACACAAAATTCTATTCAATCTTGGCAAAATTCAACCTAAGTATGTTAAAAAGGAGCTTTGAATTAAATACAATTGAATATTTGAATGTAAGAAACAGGAGAAGTCTATGAAACATCTTGCAGTTCAAAAAACTGTGAAAAAACTCTAGGTGGAAATTATGTTCACTTTCTCTCAATATTTGTATGATATAGCATATATGAGTTTGGTTTAGAGTTTTAAAATATGCGACACTATATGTTTTTGAGTTACCAGATATATTAAACATAAGTTTCTGTGAACAGTAGAGTAAAACAGCATAAGCATTTGTATATATAATTTATAGACTATGTAAGTATAAGGATTATTGCTTTATTAAACATGTTAAGATGGAAAAAATAGGTTGAGAAGGCAATGGATAGTTTACTTAATTTAAAAGAGAAATAGACTTGGTAGAATTGAAAGTTTAGGCCGGGCATGGTGGCTCACACCTGCAATCTCAGCACTTTGGGAGGCTGAGGCGGGAGGATCACCTGAGGCCAGGAGTTTGAGACCAGCCTGGCCAACATGGCAAAACTCCATCTCTACTAAAAATACACAAAATTAGCTGGGCATGGTGGTGGGCGCCTGTAATGCCAGCTACTCGGCAGGCTGAGCAGGAGAACTGCTTGAAGCTGGGAGGCAGAGGATGCAGTGAGCCCATACTGCACCCACTTCACTCCAGACTGGGTGACAAAGTGAAAGTCTTTCTCAAAAAAAAAAAAAAAAAAGAATTGAAAGTTTAAAAGTTTAATCATTCCACATCTTTGTCTGCAACATAGCAATCTCCTTTTACTCTAACCACAGAGATCTTATTGAAGCTCTGCCTCTAGCACTCTTCCCTTCTTGTCATATAATTCTAATTCTTTTTGTCAGAATTAAATTTTTATATCTAGGTTAAAATTTCACTGTGATAGCACCCATAAGCTTTTTACTTAGTAGAACCATAAACATACAGCTCTCAGAGGTAGTGAGTTATTCTGTATGCTGTGTTCCTATGAACATCAACATATTATTATGCTATACTTATTTATTATAATGTGATCAAGTGAGCTGAACCAAAACCAAGTATTCATGTTTGATAAATGAAATTTGATGCCTATAAGATCATCATTTCCATCCACAAATCACATAATCATTGCTGTATTTTATATCAGTATCATGCCATCTTTGTGGATTAGACCCATTGCTCATGCATTCGAGGTTTAACACATGACTTTTTGCACACTATCCACTCAGTACTAATTAAAATAAACACGCAATAAAAATACGCATAATGTTGAAAAATCTTTCAGTCATTTAAGCGGACATACAATCCTAAGCAATTCACAAATCTGATCTCAAATATATGTTTAGGTGAGAATCAGCACCAACATATCACCTCTTAACAAAAATAAACAAAGACACTTAAGAAATGTTTTTCCTAAATAAAGAATTGATTACTCCTGAAGGTTTACGTCTTCTTTCTTGTGTTTGTTTCTCCAAAGGTCTCTATATGAGAAAATGAGAAAATAACTGATACTAATATTTGACTCCATTCCACTCTCTGGCTTATATCCTTTATATTATACTCCTGTGTTCCAAAATTTTGAAAGATATTTCAAAAGATATTTAAATAGACATAGTAGTACTCTCTAACAGTTTATTCTTGCTGAGAACATAAAGGAGAGAAATCTATTCTGGTGATATTTTTTCATGGAGTAGGACTCAGACATTTAAGTTTTATAAAAGTAAGAATGTAGTTAATATAGAGCATGATATACTAGTGTAAAAATATAATATTTATATATAGCATGATATGCTAGTATAAATATATGAATATATAGTATATAGTATATATAATATATAGCATCTATATAAAATAATATGTATAATATATAGCATGATATACTAGCATAAATACCTTTTTTTTGGAAAAAGAAAATCTTCATCTTCGAATGTAATTATTTTTCCTCCAAGCCAATAAATCCCCCATAACAGAAATAAGGTATCTCCTGGTTTTCTGGAGCTGACCTGGACTTGGCTCTAGCTCTAGAGGACATATCCGCCTTCTTATGTCACTCTTTAGACAAAGCAGATAGGTGATCCCGTGAGAAAGGCAGTGAGACTGTTAAGTGGGTCTGAGAGGTTCTGCTTACAACTCTGTTGCACAACATATTCTTCATGCCACGGGCATGGCTGCAATTTTCTAATGGTTAGAGAAAAATAATGAAATGTGTTCTTCTCATTTTAATATTTTTTGTGACAGGCTGTGCATGTGACCAATGGAAAAATGATTTTTTTCTTTTTATTTCTATTGCCTTCACTTTATTTATAACAAATATTTACTGAGAGCCTATAGTACATTCCGCTCTCTGCTAACCACTGGGTACAAAAGAGAAAGAAAGGAGACAGACTTCTTTTCTGGAGTTCATAGTCTGGCAGCCAGACAGACAATAAACCAGATAATTAACAAACATAAAAACAGAGAATATTAATCGTAACAGGCTGGTGTGAGAGAGATTTCCCTAAAAAAGCATTAGTAATATTGTTGAGAAGATATGAGTGTTTTAGGTAAGGATTTAGCTTCAGATACTCATTCTCTCCAGTTTAACTATTACGTTAAGTCGTAGTGAAATAGCAGTAGTACAAACAGCAACCAACATTTACTGGCCCTTAATCAATGCCAGACACTGCTCTAACTACTTTATATGTATGAGATCATCTACTTATGAAGGTTACAATAAAACCATCCATGAAGAGTCAAGATAATAACATGATTGTAAGACAGACAGGGGACCCTGACTGTTTGAGCTCAAGCCCCGCAGCTGCCAAATGCTGACTTGGCAAGTCACTCCACATTTCTGTGTCACAGTTTCTTCATCTGTAAAATAGGGGTCATTTATGGGCTTGTTATGAGGATTAAATGAGACAACACATGCAAAATGCACAGATCAGAGCCTACCCTCTGTTGACAGCAACATCTGCTTTTATTATTTATTCCTCATTTTAACTACAGTATTTTACTACTAATAATACTGGATACCATCACTCCTGTTTCACAAATAAATAAACTGTAGTACAGAAAGATTAAGTCACTTGCTTCAAATGACAGAGCTAAAAAAGCTAACAAGCCATGTTGGAACTCCGAAATTTTGTTTCAAATATGCCCTGTCAACCACGAGGAAGTACGGTGTTTCTTTGGGCTCATCTAATTCTAGGTTTTCTGAACTGTCAAACCAAAATAAAAGGTATGAAATTGAATTGAACAAAAAATTTCTTTAAGCATTTTGGTCACTAAAAGAAACATCTTATACACACACACACACACACACACACACACATAAAGCTTAATATATGACCTCTACTTTGCTGCTATAATCCAGGTTTTGGTAGCATGACCTTGTTCATTTTGTTTCATTTT